ATCCCCGGCTGCTCCCCGGCCACTGGAGGCGGGTCCCACATGGCGCGCAGACCTCTCCTGCCACCCGCTGCTCCCCTCAACAGTGTACTTCAGTCCTCCTGCCTGCTCTGCTCCCCGCTCTGGCTCTGGTGAATTCTCTCACCCTCCTGTGCTTCTGACTGTACCCAGTGCGTGTATAAACAAAACAAACAAATAAAATAAATAAATAAAACATGCCTCTATAAAAAAAAAATAAAAAAAAATAAACTTAGCCTCTGCACTTAGCTCAGCTGAATGATGCTGGCGGACACAAAATAGGTAAGAAAGGGAGGCTGCTAGGGTTGCCATGGGAATCTGATGGTCCACATGACCAATAGGGGGCTCTCGAGATTTCCCAGGGCAAACTAAACCAAGCAGAACACCTCCTGTGGGAAGGCCCACCAAAACCTGATGTCCCAGCTGACAGCAACTGGCAGAGACTGACCCTCAGTCATGAAAAAGCCCATGAAAACAGCTTATAAAAGAGAGCCCCAAATCCTTGTTAGGGGCAGACATATCCCATTTCGCCCCCCACTTCCCTTGTAGGATTATTTCAATAAATGCGCGTTTTCTGTTCTCCACTCTGTCTCTGGTGAATTCTTTCACCCCTGTGCCTCCAGCCTTACCCCAATATTATTATGCTGCCACACTTAACCTCTTCTGTACTCGTTATTTTTGCCTTCCAGCTTTGTGGCAAGACCCATCACTATTGTAGCGATTGCTCTTTGTTCCCTTTTCCAAACAGGGAGCTCCCAAAGCTATCACCAGTTTGGATTCTGCTTGGAATCCCCAGCACAGTATCTGCCACAAAGTAAGCACTCTGTAACTGTGTGATGAATATGAATGAATGAATGAATGAATGGGAAGAAGCATGGTCTTTGAAGTTGAAACCCTTTGATCCTACCCACCCCCTTCTTCCTGGGAATACTGATGCTGAGAAATTATCCACCTGTAGAGGAACTGTTATGCCTGTCCTATTTCCCAGGATAGAAATTTATTTCCTCTTCCCTTGTCTCTTTGCCTGACACTCCAGGTCTGCAGAGCCTGAATCTGGCTCCTCAATTCCTGCCTCTCTTGGCTGATAGCTACTGATTTGCCAAGGTATCTACTTGCTGCCTGTTGCTGAAATCTTCATGATGGCCCACTGCCTGCTGCCGAGCCCAGTCAGACTTGTACTGGCCATCTCTGTGTCCCCACCAGTTAAGTCCCTGGCATGTGTACAGACACAACTAGAGATACCCTTCACATGGGATGGCTAATTCCCCTGGCATCCTGACTGAGGAAGCTTCTGGTGATTGAATAGCAGACATCTCTACATATGCTTTTCTGTGGTCCTGCAGACATGGAGGCCCCTGCTTTTCGGGGATTTTTGTTCTCCAGGCTCCCAGTTCTCTGAAAATTATGGAGTTGCCAGACCGCTTACTACATTAATTATACAGTGCTGGAGTATCCCACTCAACATTGTCCTTGAATGAGAAAAGAGAAGCTATCTTGATGCCCTTGGAATTCACTTGACTTACCAAGTTTATGTTATTTAGAAACAAATAGCTTTGTAGAACAAAGGAATGACCAAATGATGATTCAGCTGTGCCAGGTTGGTTACTGCCCTGCAGAAGACAACATAGCCTTTAAATCAACAATCAATATGTAATTGTCCTTTGTAGCCAGAAGACTCATGATTGTACCTGATAATTTTTTTAAGGAGTTTGCTTCCTGTCTCTGACATTCTAGGCTCTGCAACTTGGGAAGTTTTAGCATCTAAGGAGGAATGTTTCTAACCAGGGAACCCAGGGAACATAAAGATGATCTTACTGCATTTCAGGTCCTCGTGATATTGGAGAACTAAAAGAGAGGAGGCCATGGTGTAGGCTAGACTGATTATAGCTTTCAAGGGAAAGAGTTGCTACTAATCACTGAGGACTAGAGGTAAATGAATGGGGCCCAAGGGACCCCAAGGTCTCTACCTTGTGCTACTGTGTCAATCAGGAGTCTTTGGATTGCCAGTGAAATTCCACTCGAGTTAGGCTTGGCCTTACTGGAAAGTATACAAATCACAGATCTCTGAAAACATCATCAATACTTCAGTCTTTTGCCTCTGTTCTGTGTGTCAGCAGAAGCAGATTTTTTACTTCAAAAAAATGCCCAGCACATTCTCTCCTATTACAGATCGATTCTATCCACTTGCCAGGGAATGTGATTGCGACAGCCCTGCGCTCACATTTCCCTGCTTTGTCTTCGTTTAACTTTATTTCAGAACACCCCAGAGAAAGAGTCTGACTCTCTGGAGTGGGGTTCCTATCCCTGGACTCATCAGGCTCCCCTCTGACCACATGGTTAGAACTAGGAGAAATGGAGCCCAAAGGTACAATGGGGACCAGCTATTCTGGGCTCACCAAACGAGCAGATGACCTCGGCTATTTGGCGTGGGAAGACCTGCATGACACTAGACCACCAAAGGTCAGACTCCTTAGGAATGAAGGTCACCTCATAAGGAAGAAAACTGGCTGGAGGCAAAGTGAACTTGCTGTGAATAGGGCACAGGGAAAATCAGGGCTCAGGACCTGATGCAGAATTGGGGCTGAGGTGTCTGCTGTGTATTCTTAGCTGGAGGTGTGTTTAAATTTTGAGTTATTTCTGCTTTCCTTTTCATTTCCTTTTCATTCTTAAAATTGGAATTGTCACAAACATAAGTAGTTTCTTGCTCTTTCATTTCCCTTGTTTTTATATAGGATTTGTCGGTGGGATTTAATTTCCCATTTAGTCTTTAGGTTGCAGAATGGTGACTTGGAGTCATTTGGAACTGGAAGGGAAACCCTCATCATGAAGATCAGACTTGAATTCTTCCTCATTTAAAAAAATAAAAAAGCAAAAGGGGCCTCCCTGGTGGCGCAAGGGGTTAAGTCTCAGAACTATGAAGCTGTCCACAGCCACTGCAGCACAAGTTCCATCCCTGGCCTGGCCAGGGAGGTGACCCACTTGGGGCAGCAGATCTCTCCTGACTCACCCGCTGCTCCCCTCAGCAGTGTATTTCAGTCAATCTGCCTGTTCTGTCCCCTACTGTGTCTCTGGTGAATCCTCTCACCCCCTGCACCTCTGGCCTATACCCCAGTTCTTGCATGCATAAATACATAAATCTTAAAAAAAAAAAAAGTAAAAGGGATGAGGGAAAGTTGTTTTTTTTGTTTTTTTGTTTTTTGTTTTTAAGATGTACGGTTTCGTGGAGGCCTTGTGGAAGCTCTTGTGCCGGTAAGGCTAGATTTGTCATCTTTATGGGGCTACCTCCAGCAAGAACTTAATGTCAGAAGCCTTAACATCCTTAATACTAGCCAGTGATTTTGGGTTTTGTCATTAGAGTCAGCAATTATTCTGTTCCCTTTGATGGCAAACTGAGTCCCCAAACCCTGCACATTTCCCCCAAAGAAGAAAGGAGTGGGGGGGGGTGTCAGGCTTCAATAAATAGAAACTGAGAAGAGCAAAGGGCATGGAGGGGCTCTCTGGCTCACAGGAAGCAAGCCACCAGGGCCTGAGTGCAAGACATAGTCCTGGCCCTGGCCCAGAGCAGATTCTCTTCTCCTAAAAATGGAGCTGTCAATAACTAGCTTTAATCAAATACAAAATGACAAGGGGGCCTCCCAGGTGGCACAGCAGTTGAGCGCTGGGTTGCGAAGCTGCGGGGGTGGGGGGGGGTTGGGGCGGGGGTGGGGGGAGTTGTCTTAATAACAACTGTATTTTCAGTTTCTGGTATGCAACTTAGTCCCTGGTATGAATCTTGCTTCGTGTTAGACCATGTACTGCCACGAGGCAGAATGGACCTGAGGTGGGGTTGGGGTCCCATGACTACTGACCTCGACTCACTCTTTGGTATGCAATTCACCTCTGGGTACATAGGCACGGTCATACCTGACCATGTACAGCTGCCAATGCAAACCCACCTGGAACCTTGCAAAAAATGGAAGTGTAGGGCCTCCCCGGTGGCGCAGGGGTTGAGCGCTGGGTTGCGAAGCTGCCCGTAGCCTCTTGAGCGCCGGGTTCGATCCCCGGCTGCTCCCCGGCCACCGGAGGAGGGTCCCACATGGCGCAGACCTCTCCTGCCACCCGCTGCTCCCCTCAGCAGTGTACTTCGGTCCTTCTGCCTGCTCTGCTCCCTGCTCTGGCTCTGGTGAATTCTCTCACCCTCCCGCGCTTCTGACTGTACCCAGTGCATGTACAAACAAACAAACAAATAAATAAATCTTTAAAAATATATGGAAGTGTATATAAGTCCCTGACTTCCTACAGACTGGGCTCAGCCTTTGGATGCGAATCCAGAGTGAGCACCGGTGCAGTAAACCTGCTTCTTGTTAACCCTGGTGTCTAAGTTTCCTTTGTGCCATATAACAAACACATCATTTCAAACTGTGATAAATACTATGAAATACCCTGGGATCCTAGAATGGGAGAACTTGCCTGGCCTAAAAGGCCGGAGAAGGTTTACCTGAGAAGAGTTCTGAAATCTGAGAAGGGAATTTCAGGCAGAGGGAAACAGTGCACAAAAGCGTGTGGCAGATGGAGCTGAGGCCAGCGGAGATGGCCGGGTCCGGCAGCGGCTGCGGCAGCCCCCAGGAGGATTTACCCTGCAATGGGGACGCTACTGATGGGCTTTAAGCTGGAGGTTGTGGACTTGCTTAGGTTTTCATTTTGAAAATGTCACTGCATCTGCAGTGAAGCAAACCGATCGGAAGGGCGCAGTGAATGCAGTTAGTTGACAAAACCAGACCTGCAATGCTTTGGTCCAGGCTGCCGAAGGTGGGGGCTGGCGATTCCGGTGCCGGAGATGGCCGCGAGCTGCTCGGCTGAACCCCAGAACTGGCCCACGTGGGCCCGGCCGCCCCGCCCCGCGCGCAGACGCCGCCCGACTCCGCAGTCCCGCCCGGCGCCCGCGAGCCCCGCGCCCCGCACCCCGCGCCCCGCACCCGCGACCGTGTGGACGCCCAGGCCCGGAGCGCCCCGAGCCCCCGGGGCCGAGTTCCCGCCGCCCGGCCCGCAGAATCAGAGTCAGAGGCAGCCTCACCCGGGCGGGTAGACACCCGTGAGTCGGGGTTCCCAGGGGGAGGGTTTGGAGACCAGCCGCCCTGAGGGGGGTGGAGGGAGTGTCGCAGCCTCTGCCCAGCTGCCTCCTTTGGGGAGATGAGGTAAGGATGGCCTCCATCCTGCCTCCTGCGATAGCCTCCGCCTCCCTCACGGCTGGAAGCGCAGGGAGGCCTGCTCGCTGAATCCTTCCAGAGCCACCTTCTCCCTTCAACACAAGCCCCTCGCCCCGCCCCCCACGCGTGTTGTGGATTAGCTGGAAAGAAGCCTGACCCTGTGTGTCTGGGTTCCTATTTTATCATCTCTGGGAACCCCAGGGTCCTTAGCACCACACCCAGCACATGCCAGCTGCATGGCCCCGCCCAGGTTTAGGAGAAAGAAAACATTTTGCAGGGGAGATCTCCAGGCCCCTCGCTTAGCAGGGAAGGGGGGATGTCGGTTACAGAGGGACCTTCTCACCATTCCCTGCACACTCTGCTGGATGTGGGGAGGGGCCAGTGCCACCTATAGAGATCTGCCTAGTGCTTGCCCCACTAGCACTGTCCCTCCTTCTTTCTGAGCCCCAATTTTTCTAATCCTAGTAATATGTGCTCAGTGGAAACCTCTTGTCAATTCAAGCCCTGATTTTGGGAAAAGTCAGTTTTGGGGAGGAAAGAATAGAGTGGTATGCACACCCTCCTGGACCTTAGGATGGGGCAAGCTCTGGGCAGGAACACAAGATAATAGACTTGAAGGGACCCAGGCAAGGTCAGAAAAGAGGTTTATCAATGGTGGGGTGGGGAGGCCCTCCCTGGAGCAGAGGGGGGACTGGGCCCAGTTTCTCCCACCCTGGGCAGTCAGCAGGACCCTCCTGCCACTGTTGGTGTCATCATCCTGAGCATAGGCCTGGCTCCCCTGTTGGCTCACTCAGCAAGTACTGACTTCTGCTTAGTGCCAGGCATGGTGCTGGCTCCTGGGAATATGATGGAGGATATTTGGAAGAGTTCCACATCTCAGCCATGTTTATAAGCTGCTATTACAAGATGGTTAAGAAAACAAAAAGGAGATATGTTAGATAGACATTGATGGACCATCGCCTCTGTGCCAGGACAAGATTAAGTGCCCAGTGTGCACCCAGGGCAGCAGGGATCCAGAGGAAGGCATGGTTAGCTGTGTTGTGTCTGTGGCGGGTGTGGCTTGAGTGGCAGAGTGGGAAGAGGCAAGTGTGCAGGAGTCAGCAGGGGCCAAAAGAGGCACCGCCTTGTAGGCCATGCAGAGTTTGGGCACTTTCAGGAGGGCACTTGGAGCTGTGACAGCTCAGACTTATATATATATATATATATATATATATATATATATATATATATTTGTTAAAGGTTATTGGTTTTTTTTAAAGATTTATTTATTTATACAAGAACTAGGGTACAGGTCAGAGGCGTGGGAGGGTGAGAGAATTCACTAGAGACAGAGCAGGGAGCAGAACAGGCAGACTGACCGAAGACACTGCTGAGGGGAGCAGTGGGCGAGGCAGGAGAGGTCTTCTGCGCCATGTGGGTTTCTCCCTGGCCGGCCAGGAATCGAACACGTGCTGCGGAGGCTGTGGACAGCTTCACAGTGTGGTGCTCAACCCGCTGTGCCACCGGGGAGGCGCTCAGACTTATATATATTTTTTAATTTAAAAAAAAAATTATTCATTTATGCATACAAGAACTGGGGTAAAGGCCAGAGGTGTGGGGGTGAGAGGATTCACCAGAGACAGAGTGGGGAATGGAACAGGCAGACTGACTGAAATACACTGCTGAGGGGAGCAGCGGACGAGACAGGAGGGGTCTGCTTCGCCATGTATGTGGCTCCGGGATTGAACTCGTGCTGCAGTAGCTGCGGATTGCTTCATAGGTTGCATCTTAACCCCTTGTGCCACCAGGGAGGCCCCCTCAGACTTATATTTTTAATTGGCAGAAAGATCAGTGAAAAGCCTGTGGCAGTAATCCAGGTAGGAAGTGGCCTGAAGCAAGCAGAAGTTGGGGAGATGTGAGTACAGCCACACAGAAGAATGAGGTGGAGAAGGAAACTGAATGAGGAGTCCAGGAGTCACAGGCTCTGAGTGGAGAGCAGGCCATTTTGCTTAGGACATGCGAGCCTGAGGTTGGTTGTAGGGCTGGACTGCATTGGATCTGGGCTAGAAACATTGCTGAGAGTCACCAACACATGATGACTCTGGAAGCTCCAGTAGGGATGAGGCCATCTGGGGAGAAGTACATAGAATGAGAAGACCCCCTGCCTCCAAGGATTGAGGGGAGACCCTGTGCAGTAGACTGAGACACAGCGGTCACAGAGGAGGAGAAGCACCACGGAAGTGACGCAGGAGTCGAGGGAAGGGGACAGTCAAGGAGTAGCCAGGATCCTGCTGCTGCCTCTTCCCTGCAGCACCCCACCCTATCCTGCTCTGACTCATTCTTCCTCTTCCTCTCTACAGACCAGATGTTTGCCATCCAGCCAGGGCTAGCTGAGGGGGGCCAGTTCCTGGGGGGCCCACCTCCTGGATTATGTCAGCCCAAGCTCCAGCCAGACGGCAACTCCAACTTCATGACAAGTGCCAAGGATGCCAATGAGAATTGGCACGGGATGCCAGGCCAAGTGGAGCCCATCCCTATGAGGAGCTCCTCAGGGCTGCCCCCTGATCACCAGGTTTTCCAGGCCACTGGACTCCCTGACGGGGCGGTTCGCAGCCCACCAGAGGGGGCAGAGATCCCTCGAGCTGAGCCTGAAAAGATGGATAGTGCCAGCAAAGTCTGCTCCCCTCTGGAGGACAACGGTTATGCCAGCAGCTCCCTGAGCATTGACAGCCCTAGCAGCAACCCTGAATCTGCCTGTGGGTCCCCTAGAGGGCCTGGTCCTGCAGAACCCCTTCTACCCTCGGTGGCCCAGGCTGTGCAGCAGCTGCAGGCTCAGGAGCGCTACAAAGAGCAGGAGAAAGAGAAGCACCATGTGCACTTGGTGATGTACCGCCGGCTCGCCCTGCTCCAGTGGATCCGCAGCCTGCAGCACCAGTTGTTTGACCAGCAGGCCCGGCTGCAAGAGAGCTTCGACACCATCCTTGACAACCGGAAGGAGCTTATCCGCTGTCTCCAACAGAGGGCAGCACCCTCCAGGCCCCAGGACCGGGGCTAAGGGTGTGCCTCCACAGGGGTGCAAGGGTGTATGTATATCTTTGCAGGCAGGCATATGGTTGTGCATGAGTGCAGGTAAGTGTGAGTATGGATGAGCTAATGTAGGCAGGTATGTGCAAGCATGTGTGAATCAGCACTTGTGTATGAGTTTATCTGTGCTGTGTGTTCCATGTGTACCACAAGCTAACTTATGTACAGACCTATATGTAAGTGTGTAAGGGGAACATATGTGTAGGTAAAACCTGTGTGTGATGAAACATATATGCATGCACGAACAGATACTTAATAGTATGCATACTGTGAATGAATGAGGATCAATGTGTGTATATGAGTGAGTTTGAATGTGCAAGCTTATGGGTGTATGTAAGTGAGCCCTTGTGTGTCCAGGCCTATTTATTGGGGGGAGGCATGTGTGCAGCACAGGCATGGGAAGTGTATATTTGGAGTATTTTCAGGCAGACTCACAAGCAGATGTGTGCAAATATATATTCAAATCCCATGAGCATCCATACACACTGTGGCATACCCATGGCCACTCCACCTTTTTTCTCTTCATGGGTCCACTGCTCCCTGGAGAGGGAAGGGGAACCTGCTGTCATTTATCTGAGGGTTGAGACTCATCCTTCTCCTGGGATTTCCCGCTACTTCTCTTCCCTTCCCCTCACACCTCCCAGACCTTGCTCTACTAAGGTGGTTGTCCCCAATAAAGATTTGTTGTGGGAAGTTTTGTGGCTGCTCTGGCCTGCCATGGCTTTTTGGCCACAATTTGCCAGGGCAATTGGTAGAGAATTAGTATCAGGGAAAGGAGCTAGGGATACCGATAGAGACCATGGCAGGGTTGGGGACCATGGGCAGGTCAGAGGAGACAGGAGACTGTCCCTCTAGAGCTCTGCCTTTGGGCACATGGGATAAGGGGGTGGAGTTGGTGATTATGGCAGAAACCTGTGAAGAATAGGAGAATGGAAATTCTAAAATATCAATTCCCAACAAACCACATGTCTCCATGCAAAGGAGCTATATTGCAAACCATTTGACTTAAGCTTCTGATGAAAAGTTGTATGTACTAATATATTATATGTCAATTATACCTCAATTAAAAGAAAAAAGAGGGCCTCCCGGGTGGTTCAGTGGTCAAAGACACAGCGCTATCAAGCCGCCAGCCACTGCAACATGAGTTTAATCTCCACCCTGGGAGCTAACCCATATGGTGTGGCCGCTGCTCCCCTCAGCAGTGTATTTCAGTGGATCCACCTGTCTGCTCCCCACTCTGTCTCTGGTGAATCCTTTCATCCCCCACACCTCTGGCCTATACCCCAGTTCTTGTATGCATAAATAAATAAATCTTAAAAAAATGTAAAAGAAAAAAGAAAAGGAATGTGTGCTTACAAACTTGAAAGAGATGGACAGGATGTTCCAAAGCTGTTGGGAAACATCTCACTTCCTCTCTGTGCCTCTCCTTGCTGTGCCTGTGACTTTAGCAACACTGAGTTTGGTCCATTTTCCTGAAATCAGATGGTCTGAGCCAGAAGGAACCACAGTTTGGCTTTCCAGGGTAGGTAGGAGACAGTGTCAGCACAGCTTCTGGAAGCTCGTAGGACGCTGGGCCATACCCCCTTCATCACCGCTCCGTCCTTTAAATGGGAGTCGATAGGCTCCAGCAGCTCTTGGAGGAAACCAATGACGACGCAAGTGGCCGAGCTCTCTACTTTGCTTTTGGGAGCCAAAAGGAAGCCAGATCCTCTTGGGTGAGCAGTGGCGTGGAAGTGACTGGCACTGCCTTTAGCCTCCAGTCTCCCTACCTGCAGAAGTGGGGGCTCTTCTAGACTATCTCTACGGACTATCTCTAGACTATCCTCGATGGGCGGGTGGGTGAAGGGGATGGGAGAGAGGGGGAAGCAACGGCCCTGGGGACATTGTGTTTAGTCCATGCATGTTGAGTATGAATCCGGCCTATGGCCCAACCTAGGATGAATAAACAGGTAGAGAACTGCATTTCTTGAATTTGTGTTTCTATTCTACCTGTAGTCTGGTGGCCTTTCCCTCACACAGTCTGAGTTTCCCTTTGCATCCTCTACTGGAAGCTGGGGGGTCATTGTAGAGGAGACACTAGAGAGGAGGAATTCAGTTCTTGTCTGCAAGAACTGCTTGAAGAGGAGTCTTTCCTCAGGCTTGACCTCTGCCTGAGACACTGACGGCCTCATATGGGACTGACCTTGTCCTAAGGGTCCTTAGGTGACTTGACACAGATGTAGTTATAATAGGTGTCCATGGTCTCAGTTATTCGCTGATACCAATCTAAATTAGATTTATTTTACATTCAAAAAAAATCATGACTTTGATACCTATTTATTTACCTAACAAATTACCCTAAAATTTAGTGACTTGAAACAATATCCATTGTTACCGCACCATTTCTGTAGGTCAGGAATCTCTCAAGGCTGCAGTCAAGGTGTCAGCCCAGGAACTTTGGTCTCATTTCTTGGGAGCACTCATTCCCTCTGGGGCTGACCCAGAGACATCTAGACTCCCTCTGTTTCTTTACCTGTGTTTATTGTATGGCTTAGGGCCTCCCCGGTGGCGCAGCGGTTGAGCACTGGGTTGCGAAGCTGCCCGCGGCCTCGGCGGCGCCGGTTCGATCCCCGGCTGCTCCCCGGCCACCAGCGAGGGTCCCACATGGCGCGCAGACCTCTCCTGCCGCCCGCTGCTCCCCTCAGCAGTGTACTTCGGTCCTTCTGCCTGCTCTGCTTCCCGCTCTGGCTCTGGTGAATTCTCTCACCCTCCCGCACTTCTGACTGTACCCAGTGCATGTATAAACAAAAACAAACAAATAAATAAATAAATAAACATGCCTCTATAAAAAAAAAAAAAAAAAAATTTAAAAAAAATTTATTGTATGGCTTAAATGAGAAAATGAATCTAAAGATACTTTGTATGTATTAAAACATTGAACATTGCTGCACAAGGCCTTGGCAGTCCTGCCCTGCCTCTAGCAGCTCTTGCTTGCATGCCTGCATTGTTAAATGAGAATTGCATCCAAAAGACTAAAACACAAGCCACTCTCAGCTTAGGAGAGGGAATGCCAGGGCTGTTCCACTGTGTAGGTCTCAGTCCGAGACTGGTATACCTGGGATGTCACTGGGGTGGGAATTCCTCAGTCCCTGGGACAGTGAGGTAAATAGGATTCACGCACCCGGAAAAGGGTTCAAGGAGGGATTTGGCCAGTTCACCAACTTCCTCTTCCTGCCAGAATGATCCATGACCCGGAACAGGACGTCTAACTTGGGTTTCTGGTGTGGAGGAGCCTTGCTTAGTAGGAAGAATGAGGCATGTGATTTGGGCTGAGACCCAGAGACCAATAGGGGCAGTGCAAGTAACAGAGAAGCCTGAGCAGATCCCAAGGCTGAACCGAAGCATGGAAGGGGTTGTTGGAGAGATAACACAGGACTTAGTCCTCTGGGGAGAGAAGAAGGAATTGAATCCATGGAAAACTTTCTCTCCAGGAACACGGAGTAAGTCAGCCCCATCAAGTATGGTCAAGGCAGCTGGGGTTAAAGTTAAGGGTACAGGGAAAAGGGGGTGAACAGTTAACTGAGGAATAATATAAATAGTTACAGGGATAAGGAGCCTTCAAGATGTGCTCGGTGGACTCCCCACCCCTGTACCTCGCATATCAGGAACTCTGTAGGTCTATTTCTAAGGAGATTAAATGCCTTCTGGCAGCCTATCAGTTTTTATTTCCAATCCAGAACCTCCTAATTAGGGCATGGAGAGATGACAGGAACAGGAAAGGAGTGCAATCTGTGAGGACCAGGTCAAGGAAGGCTTCCTGGAGGAAGAGCAGCTTAGAAAACGGGTAGAAGTTGAGACAGCAGAGGATACTTATTTCTACGGTACAATGGACCTAGATGTTTTGGATCCCATACTTAAGAGCTGTGCCTCATTTTTCTCAACCATGAAGTGGGGGCAGTATTTCTCTCAGGATTATGTGGGAGTTAAACTGGTTTACAAGGGTGAAGGACTTGGCCCTGGTACACAGGAAGTAGTCCACAAATGTTAGCTATTGTTATCTGACTAAGAGAAGATGAGATGGACCTGGGGAAAGTGCTGCCTCTTGAAAGGCCTTACTACAAGGGCCTGGACTCCCAGAACCACAAGTTTAATGGATGCTGGTGGTGAGACGAGGGCATGAGATTGGGGATGTTCTGGCAAGCTGAGCCAGACCTATACTTCCACACATGTCCTCACCCAGCAAGCACCCACAGACACAGGGATCCCAGACCCTGCCTGTGCAAGCTCACGTTCACAGTGTCCTTCCTGGACAGGCCCATATATTTGCTCCCTTGGCCTGCCCCACCCCTCATTGAAATTAGAGGGCTCCCAGCCTGAGGATATCCCCACAGGCCCCAAGGGACAGAAAAATGCGTCTGCTTCTGCGCTGCAGGTCTTGGGGCTTCTCTAGTCAAACCTCACCCTTGCCGCGCTGAGCCCCGTAAACCTCTAGGCTCACCACCGGTGGATCCTTAATCGCTCAATTTTCATTTATCACCAGCAGGTTTGAGAAGTGGCTCTTGGGGGGCTGGTGGCTGCGGGGAGGGGAGGCTGGGCGTGGGAGGAGAGGCTTGGGAAGTGGTGCGAGAGAAAGAGGACTAGGGTTCTCAGGTCAGAGCGGGGAGGGGCCAGGTCCCCGAGGGTCTGCCGCCCCGCGTCGGGATGAAGGAGGACTCGGGTCGGGTCTTGGGGTGCAGCAGTGCAGAGCTGGGGGGCGGGGGCCGGCGCGGGGGCGGGGAGGTGAGACGGCTTGACCTTGCCCGAGACGGGCGTTCAGCCGGTGCTCGGAGGTCCCCGGGCGGGGCTCGTCTCCCACAAGGCGCTGACAAAGGGGCGGTCTCCCCGACCTCGCGCAGCCGGGAGCCGCACCCGCTCTCGGCCTCCGCGCAAAGCCGGGAGCGGGCGGGGCCGAGCCCGCCCCACGCGCCGGCGCCCACCGGACGGGTGAGCCCCACCCTGGCGAGCGACGCTCCTGCGCCTAATCCCCACAAGCATGAAAACGGCTCGGCCCGCCCGCCGGAGGACCCTTTGTCCCCGGCCCTCGCGGGGCAGCTGCAGTCGGGATCCCTCCCCTTTGCGTCTCCCCCCCGGCGCCCCGCCCTGTCTCCCCCAGCCCTGCCGGCTCTGGGAGGCCGCGCGTCTCCCAGGGCTTTCGCCTCCGACACTTGGGTGCACAAAGGGGGACAGCACCCCTAATCTGGGAGAGGGAGAGGATTAACCCCAGGGTCCGCAGGGAGGGGTGGGGTTACGGCGCTGGAAAGAGCCGGGGCGGGCTGCGGCGTGCGCCCTCCACCGCGAGGGTGATGTGACCCTGCGCGCGAGCAGATGCGGGGCTGATCTGTGGGTGCGCACGTGTGAGTGGGTGCAAGGGAGTCGCCTGCAGGGGACTCGGGTTGTTTCGCATGCTTCTTGGACTCCTCCAGGCAGTCCCCAGAGTTCAGTACTTACTCTCTCAGACCTTGAGCTGTCCGGGGACCTCTTCTCTCCACACACGCCTGGGGTCTCCACTCTGCCTTCAGCCCACCCTATTCCTGGGACTCCCAAACTGCTGTCTCCAGCAGGTCGTCTGCCTCCTCTCAATCCCCTCTCCCCACCCATACCCCCAGCAATTGCCCACTGGACAGCTCCACCCTTAACGGGGCTCACGCCACTAGTGAGGTGAGTATTAACCCAGGGACTGTTGGCCCTTCTCTGTCATTCCTTGTGTCCGGTCAATCACCGAGTCCTGTCCCTTCTAGCTCCCGAGCACTTTTCAGCCCATGCATGCCTTCCTCTCCTCCCCATTTCTACCACCTTGGTTCAGGCCACTGTAATCTCTCACCTGGACAGCTGGAACCACTCTCGGCCTGGCTCCCTTCCACCCATTTGCTTCCCTGCTCTGAGCTTGGCCCGAGACATCACATCCGTTCCTGGAGTGGGCAGTATAATAAAGTCAGTAAAATATCCCACTGGTCTGTGAGCCAGACAAATCTGTCTTCAGGTACAGCTAGGACCGTCACTGTTTGGGTGCATATGGAGGGAGTAGTGGGTGCAGACGGGGAAGCCCAGAAACCAATCTTCTGAAAAGAGAGGTTCTGTTCAGGGCCATGAGGTTTCATTATGGAGCTACCCAGACTTCCTCAAAAGACCTTTCTGCTTAGTGTCAACTTAAGCTTGGTCCAGCACATGCAGGTATATACAAATGTATATGTGTGTGTCCAGACCTCTTGAAAAAGCCCAAAGCTTTTTTTCTCTGGTGAGTTTCAATATCATGTTCTCCCCATTTTATTCCTATTTGCATCCATCTGTTTGTTATTCCTATCCCTCATCCTCATGCTGTTCTCAAAGTCATGTTTTTGAACTCATTTCTGTATTGCAGCCCAAATCAGCTCTCTAATAACAATGAGAGGAAGGAGAAGGAGGCCAGTGAGAGGGCAGAAGATGGGCATGCCCATGTGGAAGTTTACTTTACGCCAGGGCAGGTATCATTTGTGGTGCGTTACATGTGTTCACTGGTTTATTCCTTATAATAACCTAGGAGGTAGTATTATCATCACCCCCATTTTATCGATGAAGAAATTGAAAGCCCACATGTATTGAACCACTTGCTTAAATTCACATAGTTGGCAGGTGACAGAACCAAGATTCAAACCCAGGCAGCCTGACTGCAAAATCAGTACTCTCACCAACTCAAACATCCATCCTCGACTTACCATCATCATTTTGTCCTACCCGTATCTCCATTAATTGCATTTCCATTACCAACTTGTCCTGAACCCCATCCCACTTCCTTCATATAAGTTTAATTCCATACCCGGAACATGAAGAACCTATTTGAGTGTAACTTGAATCTAGCTTTTTAACAGTTAATTTGCAGATTGTTTCTGAGTTTCATTTTCTATCTGTAAATTGGAGGCATCAATTCTGATTCAACAAGGTGTGGGATGTCTTTAATGTCATGTAAAAGTGAAGATACTTCCTAAACTATAAAATTGTTACAAATGCGATGATGATGATAATGATGATGATGATGATGATGATGGTCTGGATAAACCCAGGATGCCGGAAGGAGTTTCTCTCTTCACTTTGAAAATTATCCTGTCTCTGAAAAAGGCCCCTAGGGCCTCCCCGGTGGCGCAGTGGTTGAGCGCTGGCTTGAGAAGCTGCCCACAGCCTTTGTAGCACCGGTTCGATCCCCAGCTGCTCCCTGGCCACCGGT